TATTATTGCAAAGACAGTCAATCTTTATAATTGGAAAGTTCTTGTTATAGAAAAATGCTACACGAATATTAATAGATTTAAGTCGTTCTGATAAATGTGAATGTTTGTTACTCGAGTTAAAAGTTATTTTATTTTGCCTTTATTTTTGAGTGGGTGGAGTTTCAGCCTAGACTGCTCTACCAACCCAATCCACTATACATTTACAAATATCGATGCCCGAACCAGGGACCCTTAGCACCACAGTCCAGCTTTAACTGAACTGCGCCACACGGGCGGGCTAAAAGAAGTGAAATTTGCGAAAAAGTAGTTGTTTCTCGTTATGCGTTAAAGGGAGTTTTTTCCATCATAAGGTTAAGGCTGCTGAATTTCTCAAATTAATTAAATTAAGGTCAATATCGAGATTCTAATTGTGGCGGAGGCTGGACGTCCTCTAGAAAAAGTATGATTATTCCTTTTAAAAGATTTTGTTAGTGTACCGCTGCTTAATTGTGCTACCTGGACAGGTGCTTTAGTGACCGTTTGTCATTGCATATAGCAATTCGTATTAGTTTGTCACTTATTAAGCGGTACTTAATATTTAATATGACGCCGACTGTGCGTAGCGCAACTACATCGCCTTTCGATTATGATGACGAAGGTTCGAACCCCCACAGCACGCTTTTTTTCTATAATAGGCCACGCTGAAAAGACGGGAGTGAAAGATTGTGAGAGAGAGACAGAGGTAGTCACTTCCGTCGACACTTTCGAATATTTTTGAATTTGTGGAACGGCATTTCGTTTACTGAAGTTCCCTCGGGGTAGTTTTTTAGGATTTTTTCATGTTTTTGAACCTCATCCGAAATGTGCTAAAGCACTAGAAGAGCTCTTCTATATGATTTCAGAAAATGCTTCCCAGCACATTGAAAAGCTATCCTATCCTATCAATAATTTTTTCCGATTTTGTATAGGTCTCAGAATGTACTATACAAGATGATTCAAATTCGAGACCCGCCATCGGGATCTCGAAAACTGTAAAAGATAGGTAGATAGTTTAAATTTGGCAAAGTTTGCGTATTCTGATGCTTAACAAAATGCCGTTTTGAAACTGATAAAATTCCGACTACTTTTGGAGATTTCCTGAAAAAAAAACGAATTTTTTTTCTCAATTTATTCACTAAGCTTGGTTGCTGATAAATGCACCGATTAATTGTCTATAAATTCCCTGCGACATGCCGTTGTATAGGTACAACATTTTTTATTTATAGCACAATGCATTATCCAATGACGTTAACCATTCCTTACTGTTAGTAATCCGAAAAAAAATTGTTTGTTTATCTCAATGAGTTTAATATCTATTATTGTTGACGAAGAATTGTGTTTTGAGTAAATTAAAAAACGAATAGGAAAAATCGAGACTCAATTTTTTATTTAATAATTCAATAATGTTTAATTTTTAAAATTAAATAATAATTTAGGTAATAAAAAATGTTTGAGTCTCGATTTTTCCTATTCGAGTTTAATATTACTTTATTTGATTCCATTTTTTGTTTGAAAAATGTTCTCCGATTCGAAAGTGTTCCTTCGCGTATATTTTACCACTAGTTTACCACTTGTAACGAATCAAGCTGCCAAAAAGTTTTTCTACGTCCCGGAACCGAATTAATGCGCAATGTTTCACAAATCCGAACTTGGGTTACATGACGCCCCCCAGCTACGATCATGTAATTAATTACAATGGGTAGCGGGGACCTCAATTCAGCGTTTTCAACAAAAATAAGCGGGAGTAGCCCTACATTTTTTACATACTTAATACAAAGTTCACATAATTTCGTCGAAATGTGAGGTTAGATTACTTACTTTAATTTCTTGAGAGGATATTGTATTTTTCCATAAACGTTAAAAAATGATGTATATGTTTCTAATTACCATAATAGCAGTAACTCAGATAACATTGAATATTAATTTACGTATTATACCAACAATATTCAAAAATATATATTTAAACATGCACCTAGAATATGTACGTGCATTGTAAGATATACTAGGGATATGCGAATGGGAAGATCTCAGACACACTGAGAATAAACTTAAAAGAATATTTTCCCATTTATTCTGAATATTTTTAGAATATGATACGCATATACCACTTTTGAAAATAAGCTTACAGAATATGTTCAGTTTATTCTGAATATTCTTGTATATACTGGGATATTCTGAACATAACCTTGAAATAGTGGTATCCGTTTCTTCTCAATATTCTTAGAACTAGCTATCAGTTCACACGGACAGAACATTCAGAATACGTATGTAGTAATTATACTATACAATCCTCATATATTAATTAACTTATCGGCATGCCTTAAGTATAAGGCGTATTATGAGCTCCGCTCTTATAAGAACAAAACGTCACATATTCGTAATTATTTATCCTGGAAGTGGATATACACTACACAATATCGCACTAAATGGAAATTTTTGCAGTGCGACATCTACGTAAAGTTTCCCGAAGTCTTCAAATTTAGAAGATATTGCTTATTGTTATATATGAAAGGAAATATTTATTATACAAATGTTACGAAACATTTCATTTGTGAAACATAGCCTTTTTTACATTATAAAAATGTACGCAAATCTACATAGCTGTACCATTTCTTATAATTTCTTTCATGCATAGGTATATTTGACGACCTGTCATATAAATAATGATTAATTCAAAATAAGTGTCTAAAACGAACTACACTGTACTCATTTTAAGAAGGTAGCGGTAGAAAGCATAGGGAAGCTTTGACCTTCAGTGTGATTGGTTAAAACACGAGTCAGCTGAAACATAAAAGTGTGGCGAATTTTGCAAGCTGGTAGTTTCTGTTGCCATCTAAACTGTTGGAAGTGTCATTAACTGTTAATGTCAAAGATTTATTTCTGTTTGCAGTGCTGGATATTTCTACTTTACAATAATTTGGTGCCGTTTTATATTTTTCCTGTCTGCTTATCTTCACACACAGCGCCATCTACTACCTTCTTATAATGAATGCAGTATAGTTACCTAAAAGAGAAATTTTTGTTGTAATTATAAGTCTTGAGATAGACATGTAATTGTGACAAAACGAATATTTCCTGTACATCCAGGAAATTTTGTAACGGAATATTCAATACCGAATAATCAAGGAATTTATGATATTTGAAATGTTCACATACCTTCTATCATGTTAAAAGAGTAATTTAAGAATATCCACTGTTATCTGAGAAGCAATTCCCTGCATATTTTATACATTGATCACAGATGAGCAGAAATTTTCGAGCTTGAAATACTAACAAAGTATGCATGTGAAGATCTACTACAACTTGATCGTAGTTAATCACTGGTTGATACGAAAAAGGCGTTTGAGGTTAATGGCCAGTCTATGAAAGATGAGAAAGACTGTGGATGCTAGTCACAGGCTGATACAAAAAAGGCGGCCGAAGTTAATCGTTGGTCGATAACACGGAGGCGGTCTATGGAAGACGCGAGAGGTACGGTCGATACAAAAAAAGCTATCCTCGTCAGATGCACAATATAACTCTCCCTACGACGTTCTTCTTTCCTAAGGTGTGCAAGTTTCGGCTGTATGCGCGTCCAAAAGTGGTTTTATTGAAAGGTGTAGGTGCTTATTTTGTGTATAAGGCGAACTAAACCTTAAGTTGTATTGTGTATTATACCTATTATACTACTTTTATTACATTAACTGTTAATATACACGTTAAATCCAGCATATTTCAATTTAGTGGACGAAGAAGTTAACATAACCTCTCCGAAAAATTAGTTGTAACTTCTATTTTTTCAGTTTCGCCAACTTTAGAATGACGAATATAAGTAACATAACCTCAGATTTCGATGAACGAACGAAAGTGAACTTTTAATTAAGATTGTGCACAATTTCGAGATTCTCGCGCAAATTTTTTGTTTGAAAACGCTCCGGAAATTTATGCTGAACTGTTTTTCTGCTACGGACGATACACTCCCTAAGAAATGATGGTATCAGGACCACATAAAAGTGCAAAATTTGTATAGGTATCTATAAACGAATAACCGAAGCAACGACCTCTGTGTCAAACATAAGATGATTGAGAGAATTGTAACGTTGTGATCTGACAGAACCCATTGAAAGAAGAGAGGAAATCCTTCCCACGTGGCATTGCTACCAGGCGTATACCTGCAACAAAGAAAGTAATAATGTAACAGGGGAATGTCTGATACAAGTTTTGACTTTTATGGAATCTGTTACTTAATAATATATCGATTGTTTTTTTATTGGCCGTCGCCGATTTTCTAGTGAATTAACGGAATTAACCCATCTAATTGAAGCTGGAACGCGTCATTAGCGCATGAATCAGAAAATTATACGGTCAACTGTCTAACACCAACTTTATTAAACCATTAAATTTTGCATGCTACATTCTGGGATCAACTAAGCAACATATGTAAAACCGCATTCATCTTTTAGTGCTACTTTTCTAAAATGTTCATTAATATCGCGAAGTAGGTAATCTGTGCGAATACTCCTTTTCCGCTAGCTATGCGAAATTACTTCTTTGAAAGAAAGAAGACTTGTATTCCAATATTAAAATAATTTGTAATATTTGCATTTACACAAAAAGGATAACAAATTTATGCATGATTAAATTGAACAACTTCGAATTACATTGACACGAACGGAATCGTATAAATTCAAAGCTTTACTAAATCACTGCACTCACAAGCATAATAAAGTTATTACGAAACATTGCGCTTCGCGCTGTGAATTCTCCCCTGAACCGTATACAGTAAAGGTGTAAATCACATTATACGTCACTTTCACAGGCATACATTGCCGCATAATCTGCGCCAAGGCATACTGACTGAACGATTTTGAAGGGAGTTATTCGCGCCATGCCAATTCGAATTTTTCCATCACTATAATATAACATTAGTGTTGATGTAAATGTGCCTTTCAGTCCGAAACTTAATAATCTTGTAAAGTTAGTTATTGTTATTGTGGTTGCAGAGAATGGGCGCTTTCAACCCCTGTTCCGAAGTTGCAAACTCGAATATATCAACCCCCATCTGGTTGTTACCTTCAGGAACGTTTCCATACAAGTAAGTCATTTTATTTTATTTACAATGAAACGGTTGTTGCTCTGCGATTTATATCGATTTAATTTTGGAAAGTTAAAATAAGTGCTAAGCTTTTCCTTGGGAGCTTTTACAAACAAAATAGGCGACATGTAAACCACCTCGGCCGTTTCTTTTGAAAAATACAACGCGCGCTCTACGTATTTAGCTCGTTTTACCTTTATACTTATTTCGTCATGCCGCAATAAAAGCGAAACGTTATTCTTACTTGGCTTCTCATAATAAAGTGCTTCGCTCTTTATTTATTTTCGGGAACGTCGGTAATTAAATTCGATTTAATGTCAAATTTCGAAAATGTTTCTAAACCGAATTAAATTTAAAACTGAAACAGTATCGCTCTAGGGCGTAACTAGCTAACAACAACTTGCAGTTTTGGCTTAAACTTCGGCTGACAAACAATTGTTGGAATTAAATTACAATTAACGCTATTATTAAGTTGCCTACGTTGTTAAGGTCTACGTAAAATTCTGCTGCGTTGAATTAATTCGGTTTATGGTAGACTTAATTCACTTACCTGTCTATTGATGAAAATTCAATGACACAAAGGGAGGATTACATTGCAGATTGATGTATTGATTCAGCTTGTTACGTCCGTAAAATTCGAGCATCGAAATCGCAATACCTTTTTATGAATATACAATAACGTTGTGCTTATTGTGTGGTGTTTTTGGTCACACCGTACGAATTCTGGTCTCTTGTAGTTTCCGAGTTTCAAATTTTCCCCCTTGTTTAAAGTTTTCAACTTCTACTTCGTCTTCATCTATTATTCTGTTTTATTCTACTTTTTTACTCTTTTCTTTTCCCTCATCGGGTATTCTTCTAGTTAATGTTTTTAGTATTAGTCTTTTGCACCTTATTCTTCTCTCCTGTGTCACTTTCCACCTGATTAAACTTCTGGTCCCCCTTCTTCCGCACGCATACGATCTAGTATTCCTCTTATTTCAGCCCTCGGTTCATTCCTTTTCTTTTCTACCATCTCATCAAATCACTTTATTCGGGTCGAGTACTTTTTCTCATCTAATTTCTGCATCTTTAATTCCGCAACATTCGCATCCATCATCTTTATTCCCGCATTCCATTATCTCATCGCTTTAAGATCTCGGCGACTTATTCTTCCTCGGTCTTCATCCTCCTTAGACACCTTTTTTAATTCTTGTTGCAAGTGCTTTTCTAAACGAAGTGAATCAAATCACTTTCTATTAAAAACCCTACCTCTACGTGTCAATGACTACCTCTGTACTCTTCTCATGACATGAACACTATCCGAGCCGCACAATGGGTTCGAATAAACACAATTAAGTATGTTATTCCGAAGACACATCGGACAGAAACCATTGGTTACAGGAGTTTTCCACTGGGCACTACTAAATGTACATTGTATAAATTGCAAATTTAACAAGATGTAATTCGAAAAAAATGTGATTGACAATGACAAAAATTTATTCCGAAACACTTTAAATGAAAATTAAATCAGCATTCCTAAAAGGAAGAGAAGCTTACAAATCTTGTTAGGACATCCCGCACGCAGGCGGTTGATAATTAAAAGTAAGAAAGTATTAAAATGACTTTTTTTTCTTTTAATAATCCAAATACTCTAAAAAACTGGACCCAATGACGAGAACTACCTAGCTTGATAAACAAGATTCTCGACGGCTGCACTGGCGGTGGAAGCTTTTATCTTTCACTAAGTGGACTCCTTCCGATCTCTTACTATATCCGGGCAAACTGTTCAAACTTGACTGTATAATAAAATAAATAATTTAAATCTTTTATGAAAACTGCTTCACTTTATTTCGAAACTGATGAACTGCGTTTTTAACAAAATTAAAAGGCTCAAATGCCCGTAATCCGTAAACCAATTTACACGCTCTTTTCACTGTCGCGAACTAAATACAGCCGCCCCTTTATGTAGTTTTCAGTATTTAAGAGAACACTATTTCATTAATTCATAGAATAATCTCCTTCCGCCGGAGTTTCCAAATAATGCACTAATCATAATTGGATTTAGAAAGAACGTGTCCCCACTCACGCCGAAAATAATTCGCACATCGTTGACTACCCGTATCTCTTCTTTGGCACCAGAACATGTGCGCTAAACAGCTTACGTCCGATAACATAACTTTTTATCGCAAACAACCAGATGTCGGTACAGCCTCTCCCCGTTTCAAAAAGTGTACATTTTCTTATATATTTTTACATAACGACTGTGTAAATTTACTTCGTTTGGTGATGTTTATAGCCGGTTTGTAACTTGTTTATTTTTTTATTTAATCGTTAAGAAATTACATTGTTACGTTCTTAAATTCCGTTTCAGTAACTCTTGGGGACATACTCTCATTTAAATTATTACTCCATCTAAGTATTTCCTTTGTAAACCAGTTTAGTTAAGATGTAAGTTATTCCAATAGTAAATTTATTAGGTACTTTAGTCCCTTATTTTCGCTAAATACCATCCGAGTGTTATAGGTTTCTTTTACAGTGCTTCTTTGTTTCTCCGCCAGAGGTCGTGCAGATGTTTTCGATGTTACTTCTAAGTCCATCCCAGCTTTAATTTGATATTACGTACAGTGGCAATATTCTTTTAGCGCAGAGAGAATTTTACCTTCACTTTTTACTTGACTTATGTCTACCTGAATAAAGGCTTAGGGTTTTGGCTATCACCATATTACTTTGGACTGTTTTCTCTTTATTTCCGATGTGCTGTCGCTGTGCTCCATTGAATAACGGGCTTGTATTTGCAAGTAATTAGTCTGAAGTATGTAAAAATTTTGACTTCTTAATGCGTAGTATTTAGGGCCGTCAAAGTTTCTCATCCTTTGGTTTTCTGGACTACTTTTGCGTTATCTACCTACGCCGAACCTAAATGACATCGCATTTTTACATGGACCTGCGACCTTAGCGACATTGACGTGATTCTACCTGGTGATCTACTTCGAAATTTATGCATGGAGATTTCAATATAGTTCCTGTTTAACTGCAAGTATTATGAAACGTCTTGGAGAATATTAGCTTTGCGAATCTCTTCGATATTTTTGAATTTACGTACTTTGCCTTTGTTGTTATTAAAGGATATACCTTCCGAGGCCCGATTTTGCCTATGATTACTTTTGTTGTTCCGAACATTCATTCCCGTTAGTTTGATTACGTTGTAACTAGATATTTCGTTACCGTCGCGTTGTAAATTAGTTTTTGAAGTTACCGAGACTTAGTCCGAAACCGATATATACAATTTTTAGTTAGTTACTTGTGTCACTCTGAAGAATTTGTTCATGTTATGTTATTTACAGTTTGAATTAATTAGATTACATTCTTGCTGTACAGAAATTTAGTTATTTGTGCATCGTAAAGTAATTTTCTTGAAGGTAACGTTCCTGCTATTATATGATCGAATTCTACGGACGATTCGTGGTTGAGTCAAAATTTTGTTTTTGTACAGTTAACGTATATTGAATTATTCCTTCTTATTGAATCTCAATTCCGGTTTTAATATACGATTTACTTGATTCGTGTCAGACGTTAGACATTGCCATATCGCAATATTTTGTGCCGCACTTTCTCTATCTCTCTTGTGTTGTTATCTGTTACAGATAAGGCAGAAAGCGCCCTGCCTGAGTTCGAAAAGATTGCACGTTTTTTACAGTTTACGGTTAGTAAAGTTTATTGAAGAAAGTTAACTGGTTAATTAAGAGATTTTAAGTACGTCGTATCAAATTGAATGGCAGAGATAAAAAACTTATCTGCGACCAGAGAAACACATGAGATAAACTTTGACAAATACAACGCAAATAATTTTCAGATGTTTAAATCTAATAACACGTAATTTCTTTAAAATTTAAATAAACAAGGCAATTATTTAAACAAAATTAACAACTAACAATTCTGATCGACTTCAAGATCAAAATATATGACCAGAATTACGCTTAATCCCAATTTTTGATCGCATTTAACGTTAATTAAAAATTGAAATCAGACATACAGGGTGACCCAACTTTACTTCATGTGCGGAAGCCAAATAAAACGTCCGCCTGAGAGAGTTTACACAGCCATATCTATGATTAGCAATGATATAAAGTTCGAAACAATTGCAGTTTTGAAGGGAGTTTTGAGATATGAATCTATGGTGTGAAGAATAAGACACGTCCACTTAATTTTCTGCTCCCTACACTACAAACATCAATAATATAGTAAAGCGAGGATAATTGCGTCTCCTAGATTCACTTCGCATACGCCTTTAGAAATGTATGAATGTAACTAATGCGTGATTAACCGAGCCAACAATTTATTACATCAGAGATAATCTAAACCCTACTAAATTGTCGCGCGAAATTTTGTCAATCTATATATTCTGGAACGTTTCCAAATGTGGCATAAAGATAATTTTAGTTTTTCGCTTTTCCCCTCCCTACAATAATAATTTATTTTAGTTTTAACCGCGGTTTAATCTGAAAAAAAAACGTTCGTAAATATTGGAACCGAACGGGGATGTTTACCCTGTTTTATTGCTTATAAGATTAGGGAAGTCAATACGGATTTATATTTTATCGTAAATACGTATGTAGCTATTAATTTTAAGGGCGGTTTTTATTGCCAGATTACTGGATTTTCGATGACAGAAACCTTATGCGCACCAACCGTGGTGTTGCTTTTATATTAATATTACTACGGGATTCTGTGGTTTTATATTATACTTGCACGTGACTTGTTAGTATCATAGGTGAAGTAATTTGAGGAGGTTGCCACTCCAATTTGACATGCTCGACGTGCACTCGTATCGTATGACAGGGTACATGTAGACATCACGAGCAGGAATTTTTGCTGTTCAATTTCTCGTCTCAAGCTACTCAATTTCTCTTGCTCTCCTAGAATGTGCACGTTGAAATTTCTATGAGAAGCTTATGATATTTACTTTTGAAGAAGAAATTGTTACACCGCGAATTGTTTGGTCCTATTTAATTTTGATTTTG